ACTACCTCCCTTCGAATGGGGAGACCGCGAATGACTGCAGTTTCGGGAGGTTCGGAGATCTGCCACTTTTGCGCGCTGCCGAAACATGAGATGCGCGGTCAATGCTCCAATTTTCGCTGCACGGATCACATTGGCCCGACGACTAAGCGGTGCGTGCAGCGCGTTCGGGGGAAGCTAGAAGCAGAGGCATAATCCGCGAAGAACAGGCTTGAGGGAGGGCGTAGACGACCCCAGCAATGGGGGGGGGAGCTATGAGGACGGCTACCCCCGTAGAACAGCAGGCAGATCTGCTAGAGACAACTCGCAAGGAAGAGGAATAAATCAGAGGCCGAACAGTCTATGAAGAAGTGAGAGAACCCTGGGGCGAGTCGCCCAAGCCGGAGAGCGCCGAGTGGGCATCTCCGGAATGTTAATAGCATTTCCACGCAGGAATACAGATTTTTCAGAGTTGGCGGGCCTGCCGCGGAACCCCCCTGAGAAGCCGCCCAACGCCCCCGATGAGATGCCGAATTGTCCCCCGAACGCCCCCAGCTCTACCGGGGGCAGGAGGAGACGGGGGCCGACGCGGGGAAGGGGGGCGGGGGCGGTGGGGGCGGAGGCGGCGGGGATCAATGAGCACCGGCCTCTCCCTACAACCCTCTTCACTTTTGGAGACAGGCGGGAAGGGCCGCGGAGATCAAGTTGTTGCCCGTGCCTGAGCCAACGGACCTTCGCGAATGGAAACTACGCGCGGTGAGGACAATATCTCCCGCGTCTCTGGATGCAAAGGGCGCTGGGTTGCTGAAGTTTTATACCCAGATGTGGGTCCCTTTGCCCAGAGGGGCTCAGGGGGATTTGTGCGCCCTGATATCATGACTGGTTCGGACTTGATTGAGAAGTTCTCACAAATGAGTCAGGAGCAGGATTTGCCGGCGCAGCAGGCGCATCTCATTGGCCAGGTTGACCGAATGCAGCAAGATGCTCATACTGATTCGCGGTTACTGACGGGGCGTGAGATGACGCGCCCAATTTGCAATGGGCCGTCTGCGCCTACGCGTGTCGAGACTTGTCAAGGATTGTCATTTACAATAATCGCCAACTGTACCAGGGGGTGGGGGGGGGGCCATCAGCAGAGGTGGCAGCTTCGGTCCATGCGCCTGTCTGCGAGCGAATGAAGCTTGTGCCCAAGATGCAACCGGCAATGTCACATTACGAGCTTAGCACCGTACATTTTGGCTCTGATGTCAAGACTAGTGAGTGGTTGCTGAGCCAACTGCAGAAATTCCGGGTAAAGGAGCGGAGCGACTTGAACCTCGGTTGTCGGGAAAGACTCCATCAACGAGGTCCTCGCGAGAAAAGAACCGCCGTTTTGGGCCCATCTACGCCCAATAATATTTCGGAGGATCCCGTTGACAAGGTCGTATATGGCCGAATGAAAACAGACGTCATTTGTAAGTTTGTCACCAGGGGGAGACTTGCCCAAATCAAGACCAGGGATGCCCTTTCAGTCATAAGAAGCCCAAGGCTGCCCCTGCTCCGCAGCCGGCTAAGCCAGCTGCGAAGCCGAACGTTGCGCTGGTGAAGGATACCTGGCTAGCAAATTGGGGGGAATGGGGCAAACCTAAGAAAGGGCAAGGCAAGGGCAGGGGCAATCCACGAGATCGGTCGGCCACACGTGGCCCACCAGGGTTCATGAATACGTCTACGAGCCCCTCGATTGAACAGCAGGCGAAAATTGTTTGATTTGCCTTCTCTCGCTGTATGTGCAGAAGCCGTCGGCGCGATCCCCCATGCCACAGACAGCGCAGGATATGGACGTCAGAAGTAGCCCTGAAGAGGGGCTCGTGGGAGGAAGCCCCGCTGAAAGCGGGGAAGAAGATCGGGTGCGATCGCGCCGCGAAACAGGTTGACTCTGCGGCGGCGAACGTCACCAAGGCTCATGCTGCTCCCAGGCCTGATGCTGGCATCGACAAAGGAAAGCATACTCGCACTAGCAGCAAAGGGAGTGGCAAAGGGAAAGACAGAGCCCCCTGTTGATATTGGACGTAACGCAACGAATGCCCTTTCGGAAAACGCTGTCGACCTCGAGCCAATACTCTGGGACATACGTGAAAAGGGCCACCGGGAGTCGGCGGTTTAGCCATCGATCTCCCAGGGGGCACCGCTCACCATCTCAACCTTGTGATTTTGATTGATACACTCATCCGATGTATTGCGAAGGCCTTGCGGCCGGTGCCGCCGACCTTGAAAACAACGAAGATGAGAACGAGGGGGGGGCAGGGGGAGGAGGAGAAAACGGGGGATTGTGGAGTCCTTCGGTATTACAGAGGAGTTTTTTTGACTTTAGGGGGGAGGAGGGTGGAGAAGGATGAGGAGGAGAAGCAAGAGGAGGAGAAAGAGGGTGCTTTTGGAGGCATCTTGGGGCCACCGTGGGGGGGTTCTTGGAGGCCTCCTGGGACGTCTTTGTGGCTTGTTGGACCGTATTGGGGCTACCTTGGGCGTCTTGGGCGGATCTTTGAACCACTGGGGGCCCTCTTGGGCCGTCTTGGGGGCCGTCTTGGGCACTCTGGGCTCACTTTGGGACTTTTCGAATTGTGGGTGCCGCCCGAGGGTGGGTGGCGAACCCCCCCGGGACGCCCCCGGGAGCCCCCCCGGACCCCCCCAGGACCTCCCCAGGACCCCCCCGGGACCCCCCGGGAGCTCCCCCCCCGCGCGGGGAGAGGATCAAAAGGAAAGGGATTCCTTTCGACTCCACTACGAGGTTGTTTTATTTCACTTTGGGTGGCGCGCTTGAGGAGAAAGGGACGGAGGACGACGGAGACGGTGACGACTGTGACGACGAGGGAGACGACGGGGAAACGACGAAGACGACGGAGACGACGACTCGAACGGAAAAGCCCCTGACACACGCCGACAGGGTCGGCGGATTTGTTGCGCCCTCTCGATCGGTCGCCGTGTCAACTGAATTCCCGCATGGGCGCGCAGCGCGTGCTTCCTGCTGCGCGCTTCGTTTTCCTCTTGCTATCTAGCCCCATGCCCACGATAATAATGTTACCCCCCCCCTTAAGTCGTTAGAGTTTTTTATCGTCGACCAATAAGAGTTTGGTCGGGGGCGCGGGAGCGCGGGGGCCGAACTTCATTATCACGGGAAAAGTTCGCCATCGAAGTTACTTCCTTCTTATGTTGAGATAACAACATCAAGCGAAGCGAACACGTTGTTTCAGGATGTCTCAAGCGAAACCAATGTCCTTCTGTCTCTTTGTAGTTATGTCTGTCTCTCTTTCTTTCTTTATCTGTCTCTCTTTCTCTCTCTCTCTCTGTCTCTCTATCTCTTTCTCCTTCCTGGCCTCTCTGTCTCTCTCTCTCTGTCTCTCTATCTCTTTCTCCTCCTCCTCCCCCTGGCGCCCTGAACTTGTTTATCGCTGGGGTTGATTATCCAGGGAAAACGATGCACGTGAGCTACCCTACACGAGCACTTAAAACATTTAATTGTCATAAAGCGCTTGTAAATAACATGTAATGCATTTGAATCTTCAGATTGTTTGTGTTATCCTCCTTTCCTCCTCTCTTTATCCTTGTCATTTATTATTCTACTTTTCTTTTTAAATATATCTTCTCTCTGTAAGTCCTTCCTTTCTTTTTCTTTATGATGTATCTCTCTTTCTCTCTCTCTCTCTCTTTCTCTCTCTCTATCTCCATGCCCACCCCCTCTGAACTTTTTCCCTGGGGTTGATTATCCATGGAAAATGAAGCACATGAGCTACCCTACACGAGCACTTAAAAATTTTAATTGTCATAAAGCGCTTGTAAATAAAATGTAATACATTTGAACTTGAGATTTTTCCTTCTCTTTCTCCTCCTCCTCTGTTTTCTTTTCTGTTTGAATTTTCCTTTTTCTTGTTCATTTCTTATTGTTTCTTTTTTATTTTTGTTTGTGTATATCGCTTTCTCCATTCCTCCGCCCGCCTGAACTTTATTATCGCCGCGTTTGATTATCCAGGGGCACCGAGGCGGATGAGCTATTCCGAGGATGTCTCAAGCGAAACAAGCATATACTCGAGGATGTCTCAAGCGAAACAAGCATATACTGAAGGATGTCTCAAGCGAAACGATACGTTTCTTGAGCGAAATAAGCAATAGTTTGACGGTGTCTCAAGCGAAATAAGCAACAGTTTGTGGATGTCGCAAGCGAAGCAAGGGATTTGTCGAGGATGTCTCCAGCGAGATAAGCCATTGTTGAGGATATTTCTATGAAGACTAAACGCCAAGGATGTCTCAAAACGTGCTCGGCTTGGTCTCCTCTTGATCATCTCTTACTTCGAGATTATGCTGAGGTCTGGTGGGCTACTTTGATTATCTTCCCCTGAACCCCGAACTTTATTATCCCCTAGTGTATATTATCGTGAGCATGGGGTTAATTGCGGAGTCATAGAAAGCCGAACGAATAATTCCCTTCGCGCTTGCGGACAAGTGTCGACAGTTTGCGATTGAAAGCAGATGTGACGCTTCGCGGCCGGGTCGTCAGCGGGTCGGCGGGCGAATCTCGCGGCGTTTCGTCGGGTGCGGTCGCAACAGGGTGGCGGCGGGCAGGTCGTGGGTGGGTCGCAGGAGGAGTCGCGGGTCGATCGCGGTTTGGTCGCGGGGCGGTCGCAGGGAGGCTCGGGGTGGGTCGTGGGGCGAGTCAGAGGTGGGTCGCGGAGCGGCGCCGGCAACGAGACGAAAACATGAATTTGTACCGCGGACATGCAGTTCATCCGCCTTTTGTGGCGTCGTGGCCACGAGCGCGGCGGCGCAGTGCAGGTCAAGGCAAGCCAGAGGACGCGGGCAGGCCCAGCTCACGATTCATCGGCGCACCGAGGCACGGTGCAAGACCGTTCGGCTCCATCACTCTGGTCATCGTCGTTGGCAGTTTCAGCCGCTCTTATCCTCCACAATGGCATATCGGCGAGTCGCCGCTACAGCAGCGATGGCGCTCGGTGCCGGCCCAGATCTCGCTCCCGCCCCTCCTGCTGCTGCTCTGTAGCCACCTTCGCTCGAGCTGCCTGAAGTTGTGCGCAGTGCAGCGGGCGCCATGCGGCATCCTGTCCGTTGTCTGGGCGTGTCGGAGTGAGCGGGTCTCTGGTAGATGCCCACCTGCGGCCGGGTCCGAACGCTGTGCTGCGGTGGTGGTCAAGCGGTTCTGTGTGCGGCCGCCGGCGCCAGCTGCTTGGCCGGAACCCACCCTCGTTCTGGTTCATGGCGCGGCAGCAGCTCCGCGTGCTCGCAGCAGCTCCGCTCCTCTGGCGCCTTCGGCGGCAGCTGCGTGCCAGGACCCAGTCGGCTTGGGGGTCGCGGGCTGTTCGCCGTGAGGCAGCTCTCGCCGGGGCAGCGGCTTTTCAGCGAGCAGGCCGTTCTTGACAGTGTCGCCTCGGACGAGGTGCTGAGGGCAGTGTTCTCCGAGCCGCTGCCCCCTGGCGCCGTGAGCGGCTCGGAACCGATTTGGGGCCTCGCCGCTAATTTCGTCCTGGCCCTGTCCGCGAGCGCCGCGGCGGGGGACCAGGTCGGAAAAGGCATAAGCAGAGGGCACGTACACCACCACCGTGGCTGACGGGGGCCACCTTGGGCCCTAATTAGCATGGTGCATAGACCCCCTTGGCATTGGCCAAATGGGCATCTGGCTATGTTACTCTAGGTTTCGCGTCGTGCCGACGAGGCGACGACCCCGCCTCGGGCATGCAAGGTTGAACTCCGCCAGCGTCCCAGATTCGGCCAATATGGAACGATCTGGCGATCTACGCAGTCAGAGACCAAGGGCCCTGGCCAGGCGCGTTGGTGGTGGTGCTGTGTATCGGATGCGCGTGAGAGTGACCATTCGCTGGAGTGACCTTTGGTGCGGGCACACGGGGGTCCTCTCAGTATTGGCATGCGCGCTCAGATTTGACCCCTGCACGGCCCCCTGGAGCCGCGCGCTGAAGGTCACACCTGCCCAGGGCCACCCTGACGTGTAAGTGCAGGCGTCGGCGACGAAAACCTACCCTCGCCGATCGACGATTCAGGCAGCCTGACGGGCGGCGGGGGTGGGGTTTCGGTCCTCGTCGAACACGCGGCGAAGTGCGAACCCTACCCCCGCCTCCCATCGATTCAGAAGGATCGATGGTTGGTGGGGTTAGGGGATTCGGACGTCGCCCCCTTGAGGTGCCTTCTGAGAGCTGCAGCTTCGGCGCGCTGAGGGACTTCCACCGCCCGCCACAAGAGCACGGGGGCGAGGCGCCGGGGCTGGCGCTGTGCCGGGCGCACGGGCAGCATCTCCACGATGCCATGCTCCCCGCGGCCAGGGCGGCGGTGACGGCCGAGGTCCTGGCGGACCTGCTGCACGTGACGCGACTGAATGCGCACAACGTGCGGGTGGTTCGCCGGGCATCGAGCAGCGAGACATGACGCACGGTGGGGGCGTTCGTTGAGGAGTGTGCTTGGGAGGCTTCAGACCCTGGAGGATACCTCATCTAATGAGGGCGGCGGTGATATCCATGTTCACTCCACGATTGGAGTTCCATCGGCTTCTGGACCCTGGAGTTCTTATCCAATGGTTCCTTACCCAATGCCCTCACCGTGTGTACATATTAGATATGTATGTATGTACATTCTGTCGGAGCTCCGCGCGGATTTCTTGGATTGGCGCTGGAGCCCCCTGGCGGCGCCTCTGGCGCCTCCACTGGCTCGCTCTGCGCGCCATAGAGTAGGTTCAGGATTGATCCAAGAAATCCGGGCGGACCTCCGAGAAATGGTGTTTTGAATGTTCTGTTCCTCTAGGTTCGCCAGGCAGACTCCACGGGCGAGTCTGCCCAGACTCGTGAGATGGGGTGACGGGGGCGGCAATCATGCACGGTGCCGATCTTGGCAAGTCCAATCCAGAGTTCAGGATCGATGTGCATGGTCGCTGGGCGTAGCCCGCAAGGCCCCTGCATTGCTCCGGCGCTCAGGATTGGTCTGGCTGGGAGTGGCGTCGGTGCGTCGATGGTGTTCGCCTAATCAGGTTGGGGCTCTTCTTTCAGCTGCACCTCGCTAATCATAGCTGCGTGCCGAACGCGTACTTCTCGGCGAGGCACGGGGCGGAAGGGCACATGTCTGTGATGACATTATTCGCGATACGGCCAGTGGCAGAAGGCGAAGAAGTTCACATTTCGTACATTGGGGCTCAGGAGTCGTTCTGCTACCTCATCCTCCCTCCCTTCTTGTCCTCCCACCACACAGTTATCCGTCTCCCTCCGCTTCCCCATTTCTCCGCTGCCCTTCTTCATTACCTGTTATTTCCCAACCATCCTGCGGAGTTGGGTCCTCGTGTTGAAGAGACAGCGCCCCGCATCTCACCTCCTCACTCCTCCTCCACCTCCTCCTGGCCCTCCCTCCTCCCATCTGTGCCTCTGCCCTTCGCACCAGTCAACCATTTCGGCACCCCCCTTAGACGTTTCGTGGCCCCTTGGAGGAGATCCAACGAGTGCCAAATCGGTGCCGCCCGCATGCGCTCCCGCCACTCAGTTTGGCACACCCCTCAAACGTTCCGTGGCCCCATAGGGGGCTCCACCCAAGGCCCACGTGATGCTGCCGGCACGCGTCCCCGCCATTAATTTCGGCACATCCCTCACGCGTTTTGTTGCCCCATAAGGAGCTCCACCGAAGGCCAAATGGGTGCCGCCCGCATGCGCTCCCGACACTCATTTCGGCACACCCCCTCACACGCTTCGTGGCCCCATAGGGAGCTCCACCCAAGGCCCACGTGATGCTGCCCGCACGCGTCCCCGCCACCCATTTTGGTACATCCCTCACACGTTTTGTGGCCCCATAGGGAGCTCCACACAGGGCCCGCATGCGTTCCCGCCACCTGTGTCGGCACACCCCTCACACGTTTCGTGGCCCCATAGGGAGCTCCGCCCAAGGCCCGCATTGTGCCGCCCGCATGCGTCCCGGCCACCTATGTCCGTACACTCCTCACACGTTCCGTGGCCTCATAGGGAACTCCACGCAAAGCCCGCATGTGCCGCCCGCATGCGTCTCGCCCTCAATTTCGGCACATCCTTCACACATGTCGTGGCCCCATAGAGGGCTCCACACAAGGCCAAAATGGTGCCGCCCGCATGCGTCCCCGCCACCCATTCCGGCACACCCCTCACACGTTTCGTAGCCCCAGAGGGAGCTCCACCCAACGCTCCCGCATGCGTCCCCGCCATCCATGTTGGCACCACCAAAGGCCAAATTGGTGCCGCCCGCACGCGTTCCCGCCATTCATTTCGGCACATCCCTCACACGTTTCGTGGCCCCAGAGGGAGCTCCACCCAAGGCCCACGTGGTGCTGCCCGCATGCGTCCCCGCAACCAATTTCGGCACATCCCTCACGTTTTGTGGCCCCATAGGGAGCTCCACCCAAGGCCCACATGGTGCCGCACGCATGCGCCCCCACCACAATTTTCGGCACACCCTTCACACGTTTTGCGGCCCCTTAGGGAGCTCCACCCAAGGCCCACGTGGTACCGCCCGCATGCGTCCCCGCCGCAAAGTTTGGCACAACCTTCACACTTTCCATGACCCCACAGGGCCCCATGTCCCAGTGCCACCGTTCGCACGCGTCCCCCCCGCACATCCCCTCACATGTTCCCACGTTCCTTGGCCCCACAGACAGCTCCACCCAATGCCCCATGCGGACATCCACTGAAGGCGATATTCACGACTTCGGTACCCAGAACTGCATACAGTTGGGTCCTTCGCCAGGGTAGTTCCCTTGATTTCAGTTTGGTAGTGGTGTTCTGGGCATTTCGCGCTTCAGCTTTTGGTGCGGAGGTGGTCTTGTTTTTTTGTTTCTCATTGTGTGCCGCCCACCCAATGTTTGCAAGCAGGGTTTCAAACATGGGCTGCTGCATCAGAAGTGCGAGTCGTGGCTTCTCGTTTTTGCTCTGGTGCTCTATGGGTTGTCCTCGATGGTTGCTGCGGTGAGGTGTTTTGATGCAGTATGGTGTCTTGAAGGTCGCGAGTGCTCGTTCTGGCTATGGCGCTCTATGGATGGTGCTTTCTGGTTGCTGGGCTATGGTGTCATCAAGGTGACTGCCTTGAAGGTCGCGGGTGTTCGGTCGTGCCCTCGTGCTCTATGGGTGCGGTGGTGCTCCACGGATGTTGCTCTATAGTGTTTTGTAGTTCGCCGCTGCTCGTTCTCGCCCTGGTGCTCCTTAGGTGCGAAGGTCTGTTGCGCTATGCTGTATGAGCGTCTGGATTGATTCTCGCCCTCGGTGCCGTACACGGGTGATGCACTGTGGTTCTTTCAAGGTTTGAGCGTACCGTTCGTCATTGGGTTCCCCCCTTGGGTGGCGTCTTGAAGGTCGTGAAGTCGTGTTTTTTTGCGCTCGTGCTCTGTAGGTGGTGCGCTTCGGTTGGTGCCTTTGATGTTTGGCAAGGTCCGAGTTTGCGTTGATGCCTTATGGGTGGTGCTCTCTGGCTGCTGCTCTGCAGTGGTTTGAGGGCCACTGGTTCTAGATGTTGCGTTGGTGTCTTGTTTGGTGTGCCGTATGGCTGTTTCCATGATTATGTTTTTTTTGGTGTTGTCAGTTTCTCGTTGGTGCTGTGGTGCCCTATGGGTGGTGCGCCCTATAGCTGATGCACGGTGGCGTCTTAAAAGTCGGTCGTTCTCATTATTGTCCTTGCGCCCGGCGGATGTGTTTTTGTGTTTTGTCACAGTTTGCTCTTGTTTTGTTTGAATGTTTCGATGTCCCGTTTGTGCCTTTTTCTTTTTCGTGGTGCTTTATCTTTCTTACACTACGGTGTTTTGCGGGTCCGGATCTCGTGTATTCGCCTTGGTATGTGTTGTATTCTCGTCGTGGCCTTGTCGGAGGGAGGAGAAGCGGCACCAACACCAACAGGGGGCCCTTTCCAGCGAGGAAGTCCACAATGCCTCCCCGAGCGGGAGACTGGGGATGTCTCGAGCGAAAGGGGGGGACCACACCACCAGGGAGACCCCCCTTGCCTCCGCGCATCTCCTCGCCCTGTTGGTGTTGGTGTCGCCTTTCCTTGTTCCTAGCCTTGGTGCCCATTTGGTTGTGTTCTTTGGATGGTGCGCTACGGTCTCGTGAAGGTCGCGCGGTCTCCTTGTCCAGGTGCCGTTTGAACGCTGTTGTATGGCTCCTTCCAGATGGCGATCGTGAAGGTTAGGATGAGATCATTGTTGCCCTGGTGCTTTACGGTTTGTGTTCAGTGGCTATTGTCCTACGGTGATTTGGACTGTTGCGATGTTCTCGGTCTGCCATGATGTACGTGGACGCTGCTGGATCCTATTGTTCGGGGCCCACGCTTGTGATCATGTGTGTCGAGCCCTCTGTGTTCTGCGCGCTCGCCCTCTTTTTCGCCTGCCGCTTCCTCAGGACCGCACGGGCCGGGCTGGAGCTCGACCCGCAATCGCGCTCGATTGCAAAAGCGAGCCCGCACGTCGGTCTGGCTTCTTTGCCGCTGCGGCGAGGGGCGATGCAGGCCTTGGGCCCCGCAGCAGGCCTTGGGCGAAAGGCTGGCACCCTAGCGGGCCCTGGAAAAGGCAGGGCCGTTTTGTTACCGGTTCCGTTTTGCCGCTTTTTTGCCGGTTCCGACGCCGTTTTCTTACCGGTGCCGTCGCCGTCCGGCTCCAGTTCCGATCATGGAGCCGTTTTTGTTGCCGTTTCCGGTCGCCGTTTTTTTGCCGCTTCCATTTTCAAGGGACATTTTCTTGTGGATACGGTGAAAAAACGGCTGTGCCGTTTCCGGGGCCCACAAAGGTTGGCACCCCGATCACCTCGCTGTCTCCACCATACCGAGATTCTGGAAGCCAGGCGCTTGCGGGCACGCACGGGGCGGCGCAGGCGCGCAAAGCGTGCATCGAAGGAGCGAGGACCCTTGGCATCGGTCGGACGCGTGCACGTTTTTTTTTTCCTCGGCGAGGATCACCCTGCAGGAGAAACGTCGCGCAGTAAACCGCGCAATGCGCGGGGGATGGGCCCCCGAGCGATGGGAAGAGACGCCGTAAGCATAAGCTCGCAAAGAGGGTCCACGCACATTTTTTGGGTCGGCATTGAACCCCTCGGAGGCTGTTTCGGGCTTGCAACCGCATGCTTTTTCAGAACGGCCAAGTGCTGTTGCGGGCCCCAGTGGCTCGCTGCTTTCATGGTTGTGAGCTCCTGGGGGGCAACCGATCGTTCGTGTGAGCTCCTGTGTGACAAGATGAATGATGGTGCAAAAAGGGCCTCGGATGCCCCTGCGGGGGCGCCAAAAATGCGGGCTCGCTTTCGAGCGGGCGCGCGCGCGCTGAGGTGCCTCTGCGGAGCTGTGGCGCCCAGGCGCATCGTGGACAGGGCCAAGTCTTTCGCGCGCGGTGCTGCTGGCTGGCGCGGGGCCGCCGCTGGGAACGGCGGCGGCGCGTTCAGACGTATCGGTGGGCGCCGGAACGCCGAGCTGCGGAAGACGCTCGCCGAGCCACAGGAACACCTCGATTATTTCATGAAGTCCCCGACGCCCAGGGCCAGCGCCAGTGGGTCAAGCGGTGGCGGAAGCAGCGGCGGCGCCAGTGGCGGTTCGGCCCGGGTTCATCACGGCCACGACGAGCCCGACCCGCCGGTGGCCCAGGCGTCCGAGCTGGAGGCGGCCATCCAGGCGCGCGGCAAGGACCGGGCATCGACGGCGAAAATGCCGCTGGAGGTCGAAACGCCGGACATCACGCACCATGCGAATTTCGAGCACCGCCCAGTAAAATCGCAGCTGCGCCGCAAGAAGGCGGCCGCGACCGCGGACTTGCGCGCGCGCGACCGAGCCATCATGGGAGCCGCGGCGCAGCGTGACTCAGCTGGAAGGCGCGCGTCGCGCAGCCGAGATTGCAGTTCAAACGCTCGACAAGCAGCTGGTGGAGTCCCTGCCGAAAGGCGTTGGCGCAGGCAAGCCTCGCCGCGTGGATTTCCCGTCGCTGCGCGTTTCCGGTGAGCTACTCGCCAGCGATAGATCAATGAGGCGTTCGAGACCCCAGCCTTCAAGGTGCTCGCGGCGCTCATTGCGCGAGCCAAGGCGACGTCGGCCGGCGCCGGCAGCGGCGGCGATGCTCTTGGGGCCCGTTTCAGGTCAGCAAGACCAGGGCGCAGACGTGCCCAGCGCTTTCATCGAGCGAGGAGACCAATAGGTGCTGGGGGCAGCGTCGCAGTGACACGAGGGACATCTGCGAGGGGCCGGCTTCCAATCTTTCTAAGCGCATCAAGACAGGGGCCCGGGCGGCCCGCAGTCTTGACGGCGCTGAGCATGCGCAAAATCCATCGCTGAGAGCCCCCGCAAGGAGGTGCGCACGTTCGGGGGGCGCGGCCTCGCTCAGACATGGGCGCGGGCTCGGGCCCAGGGTAGCTTTCCTCGGCGTGGCCTCTGGCGAGGCCAGAGTGAGTGCCTAGTTTCGGGCGCGCCCTCCTCCCCGCACGGAGCTGGGCGCGGTCGAGAAAGCCGCCTTCGGCTGCGAGGATGGCGTCGGGCGCGGACCCCAGGGCGGGGGCGGCGAGGTTTTGCGGGCCCCCGGGCCCAACGGCGTCGGGCCGTCTTCATCCTACAGGCCCGACCGCAAGGTTTGATTTCCGCTTGCTCTGCTACAACTTCACAGTTCGGGTCCGTTTGTCCGCTAATTCCGAAGGAATACGAGGCGAGCCATGAGTTGGGCCATGCGTTTGAGCGTTGGGAGCAGCTGGGGCACGCTTCAGAGGCGCCCTTCCAGATATGAGATCTTCTGCCCGTCTGCTTGGGAAACCGAGCTGGCTGAGGAGGGGCAGGGAAAGAAGACCGTCAGGGCGCTGCATCTGGGACGGCACGCGCTCTGCCCCCCGTCGGTCCAGCGTGGAGGAGGGCGACTCTCTGCAGTCTTTGCGACGTTCGCTCGTGGGACCGCGGGACTTCGTCGGCGGCGTCATCTGGCCAGAGGTGGGCTGGTTCCTTGTAGGTTGCTAGCCGTTGAAATCAATGTAACGCGTTGGTTGAAGCCCGCAATGGCAGCTTGCTCGCGCCTTTACAGCCCCGAGGGGCTGTCCAAGCGCAACCTGCAAGTTCTGGAAACAACGGGCGGGGAGGGGGGCTGGGAAAATTCCAGGCCATTATAACGGCGAGTTGGAAAACAATGCCGAAATTATTGAGAGAGCAGGCCCTCCCCGCGCGGCGGGAACGTTGACCCCGAAGCCCCCGCTGGAAACTTGCTGCGCGCTGCGGCGGCCAGCGCGATCATCGATCTCCCCGGCGAGTGCCAGCCGCAGCGAAGATAGGCCGCCAGACCAGCGCAGTTTCGACGCGGCCGCGTAGGCCGCGCAAGCGAGTCCAGATGAAGTTCTAGGCAGGCGCGCGTCGTCCAGGACAGTTGGCCGACCGAGCTCGCCCAAGGCCCCCGAAGGCACCCCCCCACTGGCCCCTCAAGGGCCCCCCCCGATTTGGAGTCCAGTGCGCGACGTGGCTGATGAGGCTGACCGCGCAGCCGGTGGTAACTCTGTCGCTTGTGCCTGGAAGCGTCTGCCAGCCTCGTAAAAGTGTCTCCCGGATGGAATGGAAGTTGAGTTGGGAGGTAAGCTTGGCGCTCCGAGTAAAAAGACAGGCCTCGATGGGGCCGCCGCCATCGTCAAAATTGGTTTCGGCGCGGGCGCAGCCGATGCGCGAGCCCGCAGATGACGTCTGGATTTGACTCCAACAGTACCGCCCGGATCTTCGACGCAATAGTTTCAGGATCCACGAGAGCCCAGATCTTGCAGACAATTTGGGCGCCCAGACGGTCCGCGGCATCAGCGGCATCATCGGGCAGCCTTTCAACGGCGAAGGCCTTTCGGCGCGGCTGGGCGCCCCAGCGGGCGCGGCTAGGCAGCGCCGTCCGTCGCTGCCTTAAAACCCCGCCCATCTGACCACTCGGATAGACTTGCTCGCCCAAGCGCGCGACGATTTGATGGGGGCCCCTGCGTCCGCGAGACCTGAATAATACCGCTGCGCCAGGGTGAGCTGGGGCCAGCGGCGGGAAGAGGCTTCGCCGAGGTCTGATCTGCACGCGCCTTAAACCAAAGTGGTTGCCGGGCGGCGGCGAGTCGCCGCCCGGCACTTGCGCGCCCGACCCGCGTGCGCTGCCTGCAAATGCATGAAGGCGACGCGTTAGGCTCGCGATGGCAATCCGCCTCTCCGCGCCCCGTGCCCCGGGGGGTCCTGGAACGCGAATGCGTCGAGCGCGCGAAGCCCGAAGGTGCCCGCGCCGTCTGCAAAGCGCGTCGCCCGCGCGCGGCCCAGCGCGCGGGCGGCGCGCATGTCTAACGCCGCGGCGCGCCGCGCGACGATTGCTGGAGGCCCTGGCGGGCATTTGTTCAGACGGTCGAGGGCGCGCGTTTTTCCCGGAGCTGCGTGCTGGGCGATTTCCCCGCTGCTCGAGAAGACCGAGGGCGGGCGTAGACTTGCGCGCATTTACGCGTTGCCCCCGCCATGCGTGGAGAGGGGAACTTGGCGGGTCTACCATCCTGGGCACTAGCGGGAAACACCCTCGTTGGCAGTGGGCTTCTGGATCGGGGGCACCGGCTGAGAGTGGCGCGTGGAACCTAGCGGTTCGCGCGTGGGCCAAGGTGGCCGGAGGTGAAGTCGCCGGGGGATTCTCGCAGCGGCTTCAAGGGCCATGGAAGTCCCCGCCCCACGACGCTCAGGGACCGTTCCATGGCCGCTGGCCCCCCCGTCGACGGCAGCGTAAGATATTTTCAATTTTTGGCGGGGGCGCGGGCTTCCCAGGCTCGGCGCCGGCCGCGGCCGGTTGCCGTCGCGTGCGGCTCGGAGGCTGCCGGCGGGGCCTTGCGTCCATGACGCATGCGATGGCTTTGTCGAACGCAATCCCAGCGTCGGCCTGGCCCCCATGCATGGGCGATGACCCGGCCAACGCAGAGCGCGTCGCCGAGGCGCTCGGCAAAGCCGCAGCCGGCTCGCGCCCATTTCGTTCCGCTAACTTGGAGATTGGCCTGGCGGCCGACTAGCTTCTGACGTTTGCTTCCGCCCATGCCCTGTCGCTGCGCATTGGGCGGGGGCTCGGGGCGCTGGCGGTGGTCGTCGGGGCTCGCGCGGCCTCGCGCGATGTTGACGCGGCCCCGGGGGCCCAGCGGAGATCGAAGCGCGCCGGTAGCAAACGAAAGAGCCGAGTAGCCGACAAGGTGAAAAGGCGCAGACGTCTGCGCGGATGCAAGCGCACGCTTTCCAGGGGCAAGGGATGGGGCGCATTTGCAATGTTTGCGCGGCGGGGGCCGGGCCTGTGGCGCGCTTCGGGAGGCCGTCGCGGCCCCCGATGGCCGCAAGCGCGCGATCGTTTGCGTTGTTGTTCCAGTTGCCCCCTCGCGCAGGTGTTTCCGTGGGAGCCAAGACTGCGATGCAGGGGGGCCCTATCCGGCGCGGCGCGGTTGCGCCCGCCGCGGGGTGGGCTTGCGCTGTTCGGCAAGAATCTGAGCCCGCCATGGCCTACTTCGCCCTTCCCGAGCTCCGCAGCACGCGGACGGCCGCGCCGCGGGAAGGATCGTCGCGGGAGAATTTTTGAGGACCCATCCGCCGAATGTTTCTGTCTCTGTGCGGATTGGCTGGAGAGCCGCGAGCCCGCTGGATTGGGCCGCCGACCGAGGTGTCGAGCTGCGTTTGCCTTGAATTCCCCCGTCATGCTGGGGGCACTCCATCGGGGGGGAGACGCCATGAGAGGGCTGCGGGGGCCAAACTCGGTTGGGGCCCTGTGGAACGCGCGCGCGCGTCAAACTGATTGGGGAGATTTTTGAAGCCGGGGGAACAGGATTGGCCTAGATGCTGGAGGGAAGCCCCTGGCTTATTTTTGTTTTGCGAGGGTTGTTGGCGCGGCGGCCGAGTGGCCGAGGCCGGCTGCTTCTTTTCTCCAAGGGTTGCGTCCGCTCGATGGGGGGGGCGACTCTGCCGAACACCGCGCGCGCCTGCGCGCGCGTGGGCCGCCCCGGAGTTCGAGCAGCAAGAGGGGCCGTCAAAGCCAGCGAGTTGCTATGCCAGCAGGCGCAGGAAGGTGACGGCGATTTCTACGCGGGACTCAAGCTTCGCCATCATATCCAAAGGCGGCCAGCAACAAGTGAAGTACATTATATTTTCTTGTGCAGCAGATGGGTCACGGCTCGAATGGGCCGAATTTGATACCACAGGGTTCAGTGTATCAGGTGACGGATCGTGTGTGCCGCGTTCCATCGAGGATTTGTCGAGCGCGTCGTATTCGCGCGTGTTCATGGCGGAGGAAGGTCAGCAGGCGGCTGCAGCGAAGGGAGCAGTCTGACCCCCCTTCCTTAGACAAGCCAGACTGCGGAGCAGCTGCAGTTAAGCTTGTTACCCATCTTCGTTCCGAGATTGCGATGCACACCGCAGTGACTATGCGCATTCGCCCCGGTTGCGCAACAGAGCGCCCCGACAGCAGTTGCATCGTCGTCATATGTGGTCAGGGCTCAGGCGTGGGTCTCCGCGGCACATGGATAGAAACATGTACGCCCCAGCTTGTCACGCCCCAGCCCATCGTGATTGTAAGTAAAATAGACATGCATCCAGCCCCTGACAGATGGATTGGCCTGGCCAGCTGGGGGGCGGACGCCGAGGTTAAGCAGGCGATCCGCCCCCGGCCGTCTCGGGAGGAACGCGCGATATGGTTTGAGCCCGATCTAAGAGCTAACGAACGATCGCGCGCATTGCCGCCGGCGCCCATCCTTTCGTTCCCGAAGGTCGCGCATTGGGGGCGCCCGAAGCGAGACCGCAAGGTCGATGTTCTAAAGGGGGTGGTTGGATGGCACTCGCGGGAGCGTTGGCCGCGGGGCTACAGATGCATCAGGTCGGCCCGAGGCGGGCTGCGGCGGTCTCCTTGAATTGTTTGGGGGGTGTTTTGATCTCGCGCCCTGAACGTGGCCGTCGGTTGGCCAGCGCGCAGGCCGACAATCAAGACACCTTCTGTTTTTTTGCATGCTGCGTGGTTCCTCTGCCCGACATCGGCTACACGCGCGGGGCCAGCCCTGCCCCAGACCCCGCTCGGACGTGGGCGGGGGCAGCGCCGCCGCCACAACATTGCGTCGTTTGAAGATGGGCTTGCGGTCCAAAGAGCTGGACGGCCACCTGTGCCTCCAAGGGGGCGTCGCGCCGACGGGCTCGCAGCGGCGCGCGTTCGGATCGCCAGGAAGGGCGCAGCAAAGCAAGCCTAGCAGGGGTGGCTGAACATGGCTCGGTCAATTGCGACCAACGCTTCCCGTCCTCGGCGCGCGAAGCGCGCCAGAGGCAGCGCTGGAGGCAACGCGGAGGGGGGTGCAGCGCTGGTCCAGGGAGGTCGCGTGGACCTCGACTTACGCGGGCCACCAACGCGGCACGCCACATTGAAGACGAGGGCGCTGAACCCCAAAAAGTCTTGAATACCCCCGGGCAAGAATGGGAGAATGCATCATCTTCCCGCCGGTTTATTGACGGATTGGGACCCCGACAACAGTTGGAAATTAAGTGTTCTCGTCGGCGGATGCATGAGAGGTCATGAGTCGTCGTTGTCGTCATCGTCGTCTCCCGTCGTCGTGATCTCCCGTCGTCGTCGTCATCCTTCCTCCCCGAGTTTACGAAACGGAGCCCAGAGCAGGGGAGAGGAGGAGGAGCAGGAGGAGGAGGAGGAGGAGGAAGAGGAGGAGGAGGAGGAAGAGGAGGAGGACGAGGAGGAGGAGGAGGAGGAAGAGGAGGAGGAAGGAGGAGGAGGGGGAGGAGGAGGAGGAGGGACGAGTTTCTATTCCCCGCTGGAGAGCTTGGGGGGGGCATCATTAAGGACCCTCTGCGGTGACGCGCGACCTTACGCGGGCAGCTTACGCGGCAACGTCGGCGAAAACTACATTTTTTCGGCGTCACTCATTTCGGGTTAGGATGTCTGTCCACGACGTATACGACAAATGACACCCATGTTGGAGCTGGCAAGGGTCTGACGCGGCCCAACACTGGCTCGGGCCAGCTGGACTCGCCACGGCTGGATGCGGGCTGAAAAAACATATCAGTTTCGACCCCGAGACGGGTCTGGGGAGTGATTTTGAACGACTTTGCTCTCGCCCACCCCCTTTTCGCCAATTCTCTCGGGGCCCATCCAGCAGAGGCCCCAGGCTGCTTCCAACGCCGCGGCCCCTGGACGAAAATCGACCGCGTCGGGAGACGCCAGCGCGGCACGGCGCGCGCAATTCGCCCGGGGAACCCAACGCGACGGGGGCGGGTCCTGAATGGAAACAAGTCTTCAGGCTCTTCGCCGTTTGCGGACCCTTGGCGCCCTCCACGGGGCCCGCCCCCCTCAGATCACGCGCGCCGCGTTAAGGGGCGCGCGCTGCGAGGTCTTTCCGGGAGCGGTGAAAGTCCGCCGGGTCAGCGAGAGGGGCTGTTCAACTGAGCCAAGAAAAATTGAGCCTCAGACTAAACGGCATCAAGCTAAACAAAAAGCAGAAAGCAAGCATCGGCATCAAGAAATCCAGACCCCTTCATGACCAAGCGCGTTTCGGTTTGGGCCACTGGACCTCGATGCTGGCGTCGGCTTCCGACGCCCTGGCGCGGGGCTAGGCGACCGAGCCACCGCGCGCACGCGGACGCCAACTGCCACGGGCGCCGCCACCGGGGCCGGGGGTGCCATCCTGGATCGTTACGGTTCGCACGCGTGCCCCGGCATGGATCGATTAGACGTCAAGGGTGACCTTTCGCCGGAGTGACCTTTGGTGCGGGCCCACCGGGGCCCCCCGATCGCCGAGCGCGATGCGACAGTAGCGCCTTGCGCGCCCGTGTTTGGCCCCCCCTCGGCCCCCAAAAAGCCGCGCACCAAAGGTCACTCTTACCCAGGGCCACTCCTGCGTGTAGCCGAATGGAGACTGTTAGATCCTACTGTGCGTTTGTGTGTGTGTGGAGCCCCGGGTTCTCCTTGCTGTGTCCATGCGTGCCTGCTTTCTCCTGCTGCCCCTAGCCCGGATGGGCGTCGTGCTCGCGCAGACGGTGGGCCGACTCTTTTGCCCCGCGCATCGACGGGCGCACCCTCCTCTTCCCTGTCGAGGCACGGCGCAGGGTGCTGCTGCGGCAGTTCGGCTTCGTGTGCGGGTGCCCGCGCTGTGAGGAGGAGCGCGCCGCTCTCGAGAAAGAGATCTGCGCCGTGCTTGCCCTCGTCGCTCCTCCTCCCTCTCCTCGTTCCTGGTCCCTCCTCCCCCCCTCCTCCGTCTCATTCCTCCTCGCCTCTCTTCCGCTACGGAGCAATAGCCCTGGAGGACATTTCTAAGCATCTATTTGAGTTGCTCACTTCCACATCGTCCGAATCGCTCCTCCCCATACCTCCACATCATGACCACGTTATCCTCCTGACGTTATCCCCCCTCCTGCACGTTGTCCTCCTGGCGTTCCTTCCTACTCCACCTCGCTCTTCCCGCCTCCTCGCCGCGAGCCCTCCTCCTCCTCGTCCGTGCCCATCGTCCGAACCACCCCGTCCCATGCCCCCACGTCATGATCCTTACGCACCCTCCTCGAAATCAGTCACCCCCCTCACGCCTCTGATTCGTCCTCACATTTCTCCTCCTCCTGCTCCTCCTCCTTCTCCTCCTACCCCCCCCCGTACTCCTCCCAATTTCGCCCTGAGGAGTCCCGCGTTTTATCCCCCATGCCCGTCAACCTCCTCGGCACTCCCCCGCGATGGTCACCCTCGTGCTCTTCCTGGTCATCCCCAACACCGCCATCGCGATCGTCCCTCGAGTCCTCTGCGCACGCCTGCGATCGATAATTCTCGCTCCTCACTCCTCTTGGATCCTCCTCATCCGCCCTCCTCGGTGCTCGTTTTCTCTTCTCCTTGCCCGCACCACCCCCTTCGCTTTCGATTTGACGTAACCTTCCTCGTCCTCGTCCTCCGCGTCCTCCTCCTTCCTCCCTCCTACGGTTCCCTGTTCTTCTCCAGTTCTCGCCTAAGTCTTGTTTTGTCGTTGTTATCCATCCTACCCCTTGTCGTCTTTGTCGTCGTCGCTCCTCTCCTCACTCCTCATCGCTACGGCTTGCCACTATCCCTGTCCCATTGTTCATTGCTTCGACCAGTGTCATAGATCTTGTTCGCTCCGAGAACACAGCCAACAGCATCCGTCCTGACATATTCAATTATATACGACTGGATACGGCACGGTCATGCCATTCTTTGAAAATCAGATACGAATGAATATACACGCATATACATGTGTACATATATGTATATATATATATATATATATATATATATATATATATATATATATATATCGGAATAGGGCCCCGGGGCGGTGCCTGTCATCTCCATGGGGGGTGCAGGGCGCCCCCGGGAGCGTCCGAAGCGTCCCGGAGGGCCCCTGGGACCGCCAGGAACAGTTCGAGACCGCCCAAGACGGCCCGCGAGCGCTCCAAGACGCGCATAGGTAGCCTCAGGAATGGCCAGGAAGACCCGAAGACGTTCCAAGAGAGCTCCATGAGGCCCCGAAGCCATCCCAAGAGGCCTCCCAAGAGAGCCCCGACAAGCCAACATCGATGATTTTTATTGTTTTTTGTTCGCGGTTTTTGGCCTTCTCGTTTTTTCAGGGTTCCGACGCTCCAAGGCCGTCCAAGAGTCTCCCAAAACCGCTCCAAGACGGCCGAAGAGGCCCCCAAGACCGCCCCAAGACGGCCCAAGAGACCCCTAAAATCGCCCCAAGATGGCCCAGGAGAGCCCCAAGATGGCCCAGGAGCCGCCCAAAACGGTTCCAGGAGTGCCCCAACAGGGCTTCAAGACTGCCTAAGCGAGCCCAGCGGTCCCCAAGAGGGCCCCGCGAGGCCCCAAGAGGCCCCAAAGACGCCCCCAAGAGCCTCCCCGAAGGCCCCCAGAGGCCCCCACGATGCCCAAAAATTGCCCTGAGCGCGCCCCAAGACGCCTCCAGGAGAGCCCCACAGGCCTCCGAGAGGCCCCAAAGAGGCCCATTGGAGGCCCTCAGGAGGTCGTCCCCATCATGTTCCCGGAAGGCGGTCCGGGAACATGATTCCGCGCCTTGGAGGAGTATTCTGCGCCTTCCGAGGCGCCTTGGACGACGTGCGATTCATATTCTTGAACGCTTTCCGGGAACATGATTTCTCACCGTTTCGGAACGCTTTCCTACTGCTGCGGTGCTCTGGGGGGAAGGGACGGGGGTCCGGGAACATGATCGGGAGGTTAGGGAACGAGGGTTTGGAGAGCAGCAGTTGGACAGACGGACGGGGCCCGGGGGCGGGGGTGGGGTGGTGCCACCGGTTGGCATGGCCGCCCCGGGCGCCCTGTGGGGTTCACGAACCCGCCTAAGACGGCCCATGAGGCCCCAAAGACAGCCCAAGAGGCCCACAAGACAGCCTCAGCGAGGCCCAAGAGGGCCCCAAGACGGTCAAGAGCGCCCCAACAGGGCCCGAGATGGCTTGAAGATGGCCGAAGAGGGCCCCAAGAGGGTTTTCAAGAGGCAAACGCCGGCTTATTTCCATTCGTAAAGCATACATTTTCAGCATACTCGTTTGCTTGGTCCTCACAGTGCCCCAGACGCCCCCGAGCCCCAAGACAGCCCAAGAGAGACCCAAGAGGGCCCACGACGGCCCAAACGGGTCGTCCTGTGAGGCTCACGGACCCCCCCCAAGACGGCCCAAGAGGCCCCAAAGCCGGCCCAGGAGGCCCCCAAGACGGCCTCAGGAAGGCCCAAGAGGGCCTCGTTCGAAATCATGTTCCCGGAAGCCTCTCCGGGAACATGATTTCCGGGATTCTAGGACGCCCAAGAGGGCCCCAAAAAGGCCCTAAAAGGACCTTTAAAAAGGCCCGGAGGGCCATAGTTCGTTGATTTGCGTGAGATGTTGTTGGGTATCTTCTGCGCAGAGGAGACGGAGAGGGAGGAGGAGGAGGAGGAGGAGGAGAAGGAGGAGGAAGAGGAGAAGAAGGAGGAGGCAGGGAGGAGGAGTGGAGGGGAGGAGGGGGGGAGAGAGGAGGAGGCTCGAGGGCGATCGACGATCGGCGACGACGACCAGCGACGGTGATTGACGACGACGACGACGACGACGACGACGACGACGACGACGACGACGACGATCGACGACGATCGACGACCGACGACGACGACGATCGACGACGATGACAACAGTCGACGCCGCCGATCGACGATCGACGGCGACGACGACGGCCACGCCGACGGCGGCGACGCTGCCCGCGTGACAGCCCAAGAGGCACACAAGACAGCCTCATCGAGGCCCCAGAGGGCCCCAAGACGTCCAAGAGCGCCCCAAGAGGGCCCGAGATGGCTTGAAGATGGCCGAAGAGGGCCCCAAGAGGGCCTTCAAGAGGCAGAACTTTACCCATTCCTTTTGTAAAACGTACAATTTCAGCATACTCGCTTGCTTCGTCCTCAGAGTGGCCCCCGAGGAGCCCCAAGACAGCCCAAGACGGCCCAAGAGGCCCCAAAGCCGGCCCAGGAGGCCCCCAGGGCCTTAGGGAGGCCCAAGAGGGCCTCGTTCGAAATCATGTTCCCAGAAGCTTCTCCGGGAACATGATTTCTGGGTTCCCAGGATGCCCAAGAGGGCCCCAGGACGGCCCCAAAAAGGCCTAAAATGACATTCAAAAATTCCCAGAGGGCCACAGTTCGCTGATTTTCGCGAAATGTTGTTGGATTTCTTCCGCGCGGAGGAGACGGAGAGGGCGAAGGAGGAGGAGGAGGAGGAGGAGGAGGAGGGGGAGGAGGAAGAGGAAGAGGAGAAGGACGAGGCGGGGAGAAGGAGTGGAGGAGAGGGGGGGAGAGAGGAGGAGGAGGCTCGAGGGCGATCGACGATCGGCGACGACGACCGGCGACGGTGATTCACGACGACGACGACGACGACGACGACGACGACCGATGACGATCGACGACGATGACAACAGTCGACGCCGCCGATCGATGATCGACGGCGACGACGACGACGGCCACGCCGACGGCGGCGACGCTGTCCGACAGCCTCAGCGAGGCCCAAGGGGGCCCCCAGACGTCCAAGAGCGCCTCAAGAGGGCCCGAGATGGTTTGAAGCTGGCCGAAGAGGGCCTTCAAAAGGCAAAAATCGGCCCACTCCCGTTGTACAACGTACGTTTTCAGCATATTTGCTTGCTTGGTCCTCACAGTGCCCCAGACGCCCCCGAGCCCCAAGAGAGACCCAAGAGGGCCCAAGACGGCCCAAAAGGGTCGTCCTGTGAGGCTCACGGAACCCCAAAGACGGCCCAAGAGGCCCCAAAGTTGGCCCAAGAGGCTCCCAACACGGCTTCAGGGAGGCCCAAGAGGGCCTCTTTCGAAATCATGTTCCCAGAAGCCTCTCCAGGAACATGATTTCCTGGTTCCCACGACGCCCAAGAGGGCTCTAAGACGGCCCCCAAAGGCCCTAAATGGACATTCGAAAAGGCCCGGAGGGCCATAGTTCGTTGATTTGCGCGAGATGTTGTTGGATTTCTTCCGCGCGGAGGAGACGGAGAGGGCGGAGGAGGAGGAGGAGGAGGAGGAGGAGAAGGAAGAGGAGAAGGAGGAGGAGGCGGGGAGGAGGAGTGGAGGGGAAGAGGGGGGGAGAGAGGAGGAGGTTCGAGGGCGATCGACGATCGGCGACGACGACCGGCGACGGTGATTGACGACGACGACGACGGTCGACGACCGACGACGACGATGATAGACGACGATGACAACAGTCGACGTCGCCGATCGACGATCGACGGCGACGACGACGACGGCCACGCCGACGGCGGCGACGCTGTCCGCGTGCGCAGAGCCACCCTGGACCCAGTCTCTTCTGCATCGTTCGAAATCCTGTCCCCGGAAGCGTCTCCGGGAACGTGATTTCAGGAGGAGGAGGAAGAGGAAGAGGAGGCAGATTAGGAGGAGGAGGAGGAGGAAGAGGAGGAGGAGGAGGAGGAGAGGAGGAGGAGTGGGCGGGAGGGCTCGGGGCCGATCGACGATCGGCGACGGTGATTGACGATGACGACGACGGTCGTCGACGGCGACGACCGACGACGACGACGACGATGGACGACGATGACAACAGTTGACGCCGCCGATCGGCGAACGGCGACGACGACGACGACGTCTTCACAGTGCCACTCCGACGAGCCCCAAGACGGCCCAAGAGGGACCCAAGTTGACCCATGAGGGCTACAAA